AAAATAAAAGTAATGCTAGGAAACAAACATGTTTCTAAGGACCTTGAGGCAAACATTATTTTATGGAGACAGGTTAATAATGTTTTTTCTGCTGTTTTCTAGGGCCCCCGTCAGTCATGGGCTCTTAGCCAAAATGATCGTCATCATTTTGATTATACAATTTGAATAATATTAACCTACTAAGCTTCTACCTAAGTAGGATTATAGTCTTTATTCAAGTCGAAAGTCTATTTACTTCTTATTGTTATGTCTAAACTCTTTTGTGGGAGCACTTTTTGAGTGATAAGTCTGTCACAGGACAGATGACTGCACACATGCTAATGCTTACAGCAAATAACTCTTCTCGTTAAAAATGTGAAGTAAATTGCTTTTGGCTGGTAAACTGGATTACAACCTTTCAAACACTTATCTGTATGTGACTTAAGCAACCTCAGCTTGCTGTCTAAGGCCGTGTTCGCACTAATATGTTTTTGTTTGAAAATGCATCTTTTTCTCTCCGTTTTGGCCTTCTGTCCACACTGAGACGTTGTTTTTGGTCAAGGAAAACAGACCTTTTTGAAAACGCTCTCCAAAGTGGATACATTTGAAGACACCTTAGCGTTGCAGTCATGTGATCAATTCAACTAAGATGGCGGACGGCATTGTACAGCAGTTGTTTTGTTTGCTCTCAATTTTGACAGCCTTTATAAAGATTAATATCAGTTTGTAAATGCTCCAGATAGCTCCAGATAAAACTCAGCACTTTTCCTTGACATTTTGCGTGACTTTTCAAAGAACCAGAAAGTAAATAAATGGCAGACAGAAATGACCCAGCTCAATCGTCTTACTTTTCACGCATGCACAGTATAGGGACGTAGCGTTTTCAGTGTGGAAGAAAACAACTGAAAAAGATAGTGTGGACGCGGAGCGTTATTAGACCAAAATGCAGTTTTCCAATTTATCTGGATTAGTGTAGACGTAGCCTAGGACTCCTGCAACTGGAGTGTTGTTTTTGGTGGAAAAGCCTGGTATTCAGACCCAAAACCTACAGTTCTTCTCGTGAGTCTGGCTCTAAAAACAAATTAGTCCCTAAAGACTCCCAGCATAAAAAACATGACTATGTTATTTACAGCATCTAAAACAAAACAAACAAACAAAAACAAATGGGTGACATCATCATGGGTGATGGCTACCTCTTTCTTTCATATACAGCCTGTAATCATGTGGCAATAATTTGGTTGGTTTGGTTAAGTTTTTTTCATATCGGAGGATAGCCAATGGGAAACAATTAATATTAGCAGAAATGAAGGAAAAAAAGAGGACACACAGGTTATGACAAATAACTCTGATTCCAAACTGTCATCCTTTTTATTTACACAAATCAGAGAAAAAGAGGGAAGACACAGGCCCGTTTAATAATCGTACATGTCTCACATCACAGATTACAGGTTCCATTAATGTGAAAAGTTTAGCACGACACACAGGACACGCATCACTTCACAGCTGCTAATTCTCTTTTCTCCCGTGGATTTAGTATAAAGACATGCTTCATTTTTAGAGCTCAGCTCTAATGCTCTCATAATAGTATAGTTTTCAATCACATCTTTTTTAAACTACCTTCACAAAACCATCACAACAAGCACATTTTAAACAACAAACTGCACAAGTTTGTGTAGAAGTAGCAAAAAGAGGAAATAAACAAAGAAATAAAACTCCGATGACTGTTATGCAAAAGTATTTTTCAGAGAGTCAGTAAAGCTCATTGAAATTAGTTCCATTTAAGTCTCTGAAAGTTTGACTTTATAGTATGATTATGAGTTAAATCACAGTTTTATTTTCAGTGGAAGAAGGGGGCTGGGGGGATTCTACCACCGAAAAGCAACATGAAGTAATTGCACAACAAGACCACACTTTATCTATGTTTCGAACTTTCGAAATCATTCTTTAAAAGATTTGTCACATTATTCAGACTCCACCACAAACACAGTAAAGCATTTGCACCCCCCGCTCATCGTGCGGTGCGTATGTTCTTGTACTGGCACAGAAGCAGCTGCTTGAAGGTGTTCTTGAAGGTGGCGTTGCAGAGGGCATAGCAGGCTGGGTTGATGGTGCTGTTGATGTAGCACAGCCAGTAGCCAATGGTCCACAGCGTGTTGGGGATGCAGGTGGAGCAGAATGTGTTGATAAGCACCATCACGTTGTACGGCGTCCACGTGACGACAAACGCAACCAGGATGGCCATGATGGTGCGTGTGACCTTTTTCTCCCTGGAAGAAATTCCCCTCTTTTTCCACTTTGCCACAGCGTTTTCACTCATAGCGCGCATTGTTACCTGAAAAATGACAGAAGAAGAAGAAAAGAGTTCTATTGTTTCTTTTTAGCGTGTTTGTGTGTGTGTGTGTGTGTGTCACTCCTGTGTAAGTCCAACATAACCTTCCACACCTGTGTAGGTACCAAATGAGCTGTTCTGAGTATTTCACAAACTGCTGGGATTTTCCAGAACAACAACATGGAAGTTTCAACCACACAAAAATGCTTCATAGAGCTGAATGAATGCAGTCATGCTAGCAACTCTGTGAGGCTGCCATCAGGCACAAAGATCACTTAAATTAAATCTAATATCATTTTATTCCTTTTTTTTTCTTCACCACGGTTACCATCTTCATTTTTATGGTTACCAGTTTACTTGAATAAGATGAGTGGTATTTGGTTAGCTGCTACCTATCTGCTAAGTTACATCAACGGACAGAACATATCGACTATGTTTGTGGTGTTTAGTAATTCAATTTTACTAAAATGATCTGACTAATAATATGTCCTGTTGTGCTGTTAATTACACCACCTAACTACTTTGTGCTTATTTGAGTTAAATTCAGTTATTTTGTTAAATTTATGTTTGATGCACCCTCAGCACCTCTTTGTGTGTACATTAGCTAGCATTAGCTTACAACTCAGCACTGGACTCTCTTGTCCTAATACTTAATCCAAAAAAAAAAAAAAAAGATTGTGAACTTCTAGATATTTTATTTATGGTCCAGATTATAAACTGTTCCAGATGTATTCTTTAACCTACTGACACCAAACTTATGATGTCTCTAAAATAAAGACAACTTCTGCTGAGCTAATAAATATGGTGATAAAAAAAACTTTTAATTAACAACAAACTAATTGACATGACCAAACCCATGACTGCTTTAAATTGTATAATAATAAATCTGGCCAATTAAGGATGCATATCTTTTGATTACCTTAAACAGAGTTTTCGTGACTAGCATTTGAGCGTCAGCTGCTGAGTTTTTGCGAGAAGATGGTTGGGCTTCATTTTTCCCAATATTTGAGTTTTTCCGTGACGAAGGTGGAATGTCAGCATCCTTGGATGTCGAAGCCTGAATGCTATCTGATGTGGAGTCCACCTGGTTTGTTTGGTCTTCCTTGCACGGACCGATTCCGTTCTGTTGCT